TTGTAACAATTTAGAAGTTTATACTGTAAAAAGTTTTTTTTTTTTTAATATCGGTACTTGGTTATATTACTCATTTATTGCAATCATTGTTAAACGTTATGCGTTATAATTGTGCTGATATATATATATATACATAAGTACGTGCTCACGTACTTAAACCCCTCCCCTCATTTATCCCCTACCCTATAGTATTTATATACACGACAGTTTTAATATTTATATGTTACTTATTTGTTTACTATTAATTTGATATTTTGTAAAATTATAAATTATCGTCGTAATGTTTTGTGCGTTGTAATTATTGAATATAAAAATGTTTAAGAGATACATTAATTTCATTAATATTATGTATCAATTAGTATCTCCTCTACACCTTCAATTAACGTTTATGTTAATATTTGTCAATTAAGGTCGAACGTACATATATAAATAGGATGATGTGTAGTTGCGAAATAAATTATCAATTTAAAATCGATTGATTTTTCAACATTGAAATAAATTATATACCTCATACGTACAATTAACTTGCACCAGGTTCGCGTGTATTATTACGTACAACAATAATCATAATAACAATAACAACAACGACGACGACGACGACGACGACGACGACGACAACGACGACAACAACAACAACAACAACAACAACAACAACAGTAATAATAACAACAATAACAATAACAATAAATTTAACGTATTTTTTTTTTATGAGATAAAGAATGCAATTATCTTTAAAGGATAATATTTTACCAAGGGTATTTACGGTTTTGTTTTTTTTCTCATTCGAGCCTAATGTAATAATAATCCAGTGTCTCAATATCTGACAGACCATAAGTTACAAAAGGGAAAATTTTCAAGGGGTTGGCCAAAAAATGATACGGCAGTTGGAGAAAATACTTACCCGTGTAAAAATAAACTCGTGCACAAAGTGTCATTTCAAAGGGGTTCGCTCGACGTCGGCAAGCGGTGAGGGGAGAGGGTAAAGGGGTAATGGCGGGAGTGGAGGGGATGGATTGGGGGGATTGGGGGGATTGGGGGGGGGGTGAAAACGAAAAAGATCTTTCAATATCGCGATATTTTCAGCGAAGTGCTCGAGGGCTCGGCTCCGTGTTCTATAGAAATGGAGACGAAATCGGTGCGACATCGAGGATGAAAATATTATGACAGGTTCGCTCGATCGTAGCCCCGTACCGCAGCCAAACCCGAGGATGCCCTCCTCCCATTTCGCGAGGGCGTCAACGAGACTCTCCTGTTAGCAAATATACGCGTGCGCGAAATTGCGAGAGACTTGTGTAGAGCAAGTGTCAGCGAGATTGATAAATATCACTCGTCAAATATATCTGCTCTCTTGTATTTTAATATTTTCATCATTTTACATAGTTTTACATAGTTTTAACGAGAATGCGTATCATAACCTTATGAAACTTTAATCTAAGAAAGTTAATGACGACTAAATTATGTAAGTATATATATATATATATATATATATATATATATACTTGTGTGCGAGTTTCGAGGAGACAAACAATGCCAATAATTAACAAACAGATCGAAATTTTAAGGCATTTTCCGTGTTCGCGTTATAGAGAACAAGGCTGTCTCACCGACCCTCTCCCACTTTGGCTAGGGTCGCTCATTCTTCGACCGAACGGTTATTGGGAAGGTGGATAAGAAGCCATGAGCCAACCCCAAGACAGTTCTGGACTTGGGATAATTGGACGCCAAGTAAAAAGGCGAATCGGAAGCGCGCAGGTCGCCGTACTCGCATTGTTCTACTAAAATATCGAAACATATACGAATTTCATCTCCTTTATTAATATTCAATTGTTCTTATGTCCTTGTGCTTGTAAAAGGTCTCTCCACTCGACTCTATTTCCAAGTGTTCATATATATACCGGTAAGGTTATTCAATTTATCTCCACGCGTTTTTACGATTAAATTCCATGGTGATTTCAAATCATGCACTCATTCGGGAAATAAAATTAATAAAAAAATTATCCGTAATATTAACAATTAAATCAATTAATGAAGTGACTGAATGTACGATACGGTATAATATCAAAAACTTTTATTCTTCGCGATTCTAATTTGGTAAAAGAAGCATTGCTTAAGTATCGAATGAGTTAGCACTATGAAGGATAATTAAATGTATTTTACTTGACACGTGGTATGTATAGTTGATATGTTGGCTTAGACATGTCAATCAACAAATCTTGAAATTCTTTATTCGCGCCTGACGTCGATACATTGGAAAGCAAATTTACTTTCTCTTTAACTTCTTTTATATTGTTTAAAAGTTGACAATATATTCGCAAAATTTTACTCATACTATAACTCAGAACTTGTATATTAAAATGGAGTGCTTATTGGCATCTACAATCAATAAGTGAACAAGTCGATAATTATGATGCCAAGACGTATATTTTATGAAGCTACGTGAAAATTCGACATTGTTAACATCTTTTTTTCTTCTGTAAGTTGAAAATATCGATGATAATAGTCGTTCGGCGAGCTTAGGGATGGAAACCCGAATGCTTTACATTGCACATGCAAATTACATTGTGTACTTTTTAAAGAAGAGTATTAGTAAATAGCTTAGCATTATTTCATTAGCATAAACTCAACATGCCAAATACTCTCAAAGTGTTGAATTAAATATCAATTTTTATTAATAAATTATTAAATTATGTCTTTAAAGCGTTTACCAATATCACGTAATACTAGTATAAAAATATTAACAATAACAATAACAACAACAACAACAACAACAACAACAACAACAACAATAATAATAATAATAATATTGTTATAAATTTAATTATTAATGTTGTTATTATGGAGATGTAAATTAGAATGCGTTTAATTATTAACAATAAATTAGAAAAGGAGAAAAATAGCGTCTGAAAATAATGGCAGTACGAATTCCAGGCATAGGCTTGTCACTCGAGTGCTGCATAATTAAGAAATCAGCCGTTTCTAGGTCGCTTAAACCGTAAATTGATAAACAATACAGCGGGCACGAACGAGTATCCCACCAACTACCCAAATAACGAATAACAATAATATTTATATTATGTTTTCTCGGCTGACCTCGCGAGTAACTTCTAAAACGCAGTTTTTGACTCGCGTGTCTCGTTAATTAGATGGCGCAATGGTACAACGATACGACGACTGACTAATAACAGACCAGATTGAACCAGTTGGTTTCATGGAAGGAGATCCGAGACGCCGGACAGCCTTACCTCGTCCACTTCCCTCCCTCTAGGCGTCCTCGACATTTTGACGGGACGATATCAGCAGCTCGATAAATTGTCATTTCGATTTTTAGTCGTGCGTTTGGCTGCGGTGCTTACCTGCAGTTTTATGCAGTCGCAACAGGAGCAGTGCGATCGTGAAATGGTGAAAAGATTCTTCGGGTAACTTGGGACGTGTAAAGTATCGTTTCCTCCATCGTCATCCATATTCTTATTCGCAAATCAACGATATTTTCATGAATACAAATATCGTAATGAGGCGCGTGAAAATTCTCGCTGACAATAGTCCCTCGAAATATTACTTTCCTTTCAATAGTATCGAGCATATTACGCGGCCAAGTGACAATAGATTAAAATGACTGACGTTGATAATCAAACGAGGACGAGGTGATTAAGGGAATGGTAAAAGTCTGATCCTCGTAGCTCATATTTCAAGATTATTTGTAGTGACGTTTAATTATCCGTCCGATAAGATTATCCGTCTTATCCGACCGTTTAATAAAATATGCGAAGTACCTTTTAAACATTTAATTATTTCAAATGTACATTAAAGAACCGCCAACATTTAAATGGCACTACACGTATAAATAAACAACTAACTAAAGCTGCTTTCCCCATCGACGTTGGCCGAAGCATTAGCAACGTATTTCTTTCGTTAGTCTTGTAATATTCTACCGCTATTCTAAGCTTCGCTGGCACACACACCCCCTCGCTCCTCCTCCTCCTCCTCCTCCGCCGCCTCCTTTCGTGAGTTCGCGCGCGCGCGCGCTTACGAAGCTACGTTTGTAGCTAGGGCGCTCCCAAAATGGCGGCTGACTATCAGTTACTACGGGTTTATCGACGCTATCGACATTGACGCGCGCCCACGCATTTGATGTTTTGCGCGCGCTGACGAGGCACGCCAAGAGGTAGGGGAGATTGCGATTGTGGGCCAAACCAAGAGGGAGACACAACCGAGGTACAAAATTTCGAAAATTCTTCTTACGAGTAATTAATGCGATACCGCGTTAAAATTATGTCGACTTTTCGTATTTATGATGGTGGGGGAGGGGGAGGGGGAGGGGGAGGAGGGAGTGTAAGATGAGGTTTCTCAGCTCGAAAGCTGCAGTCCAATTTTTTTTGGAAGGACCATCGATGAGCAATTTATTCATCAATGGTGATTTGCGCGTGAATTTATGGAGTTGGTAAAAGGCAATGGATATCGACGTTAAGTAGGCTTTTTTTACCAATCTTGTGAAAGAATTAGGAAATTGTATGATTAAGCGACATAATAATATCTCATCTAGTATTAACGAGAGATGGATAATACGGCTAAAGGACTTATAAACTATAACGGCTATTAGTTATCCAAAAATGCTTGCCTTAGTGTATATATGTGTGAATGCGGTCGTAAATTAAGCTATAAAACACCGTTGATTATCATTGCGAAAGCAATGAGTAAGGTTTTTTTAATATTAAACTGTCATTAAAATGCTATTGTTTGATATAAAATGCTATTATTAAAATGCCAATTGATATTTTAGGATGGAAAATGTAAAAAATTTCTGGCAATCTCACGCACATTTACGTAATACATTAAAGATAATATTTTTTACGCTCTATCTTGCTTATCAATAACCTATACCACTAATCTTTTTCATTTGCAGGACGTCGAGATGTGTTGACTGCGCGACCAATTCACGAGTATTAACGAGTTGCAATACGTAATTTAATAAATAAATAATACCATTATTGTCATTGATAATAATGGACGATAATGGTAGAGTAGAGACCTTGTGCAAGGTATGTGGTGACAAGGCGTCTGGAAAACATTACGGTGTACCAAGTTGCGACGGATGTCGTGGATTTTTCAAGCGGTCGATCCGTAGGTATGCGAGGTAATTGCAAGTTTCATTAATAAGTCGTAAATGTTTATCTTTCCTTCCATAGCTTCGTCAATACTGTCCGTGTAAAAAAAAAAAAGAAGAAAATTAATCTGTAGACTAAGTTTCACGCGTGTTTGCATTGCCTTTCACCAAACATTTCTCACGTTCGTACGTAACGTCGAAAGCGCAGAGAATAAAATGCACCTCCATTCGCATAGTTTTTCGTAAAATTTCTCTAAAACTTGGTTCTTCGAGAAACTTCGACACCGCACTTACGTAGAACGCCACTACTGCACTTGAGATTCACATCGTCGCTTCTAAAAATATACCTCAAAGACATGTATTTTCTATATATATATATATATATATATATATATGATTTTAAATGCATTTTTCGCCAATTTACGAGCTTTATCGTTATCGCACCGCAGACAAAGCCCCGCTGTACCGAGGTGCGACAATATTATTAATCAGATAACCGAGAGAAAGCGCAGAAAAGTACAATATCAATTTGCAGGAATTTGGACTACGTGTGCAAAGAAAGCGGCCAGTGCATCGTCGACGTGTCTCGGAGAAATCAATGCCAATCCTGCCGATTTACCAAGTGCTTGCAAGTGAACATGAAAAGAGACGGTAAGCAGCATCGTGAGACAATTGTTTTCTCTCTCTCTCTCTCTCTCTCTCTCTCTCTCTCTCTTTATTTCTCTTTTCTTCTGTTTCTTTCAATAATAATACATTCCAGCTTACGCATCTCCAAACATCGATGCACAATTAGCTACGATTGCGTTCGAAAGCTCGACCTTCGACTGCGATAGGGTCAACGGGACGCGCGCGTCACATGCACGTGGACGAGATGTCTCAACGAGACGCCACAATGAATAGAATAATCGTGGGCTCGGAACGCGGGGGTTAAAGAGCAAACACTCGGCGGGACACGACGCGGGACGAGAGCGACAGACCACCGAAACTCCCCTTTCACCCTCGCGAAGCGATCGGCTGCTGTGTGGACCGACGTGTCAGCGGCAGCCGAATGCTGGCATCATCCTTTGTAAATAGATGGCGAGAGAGGCGACGAGCGGGGCTTGGATAAACCAAACACTTGATTGCATTGAGATATCAATTAGCGCTGGGTACCTCGACACCTCTAGATCATGCGTACGGGCCATTACGCGTCGACGCCCCGAGCAAACTTTGCGCCACTCGTGAAACTCCTCGCGACTACTTTAGCGAAGAGTGGGTCGGGCCGCGTGAGCTCGACGTGCAGTTGTTACTCTCTTTGTCATATCTCACCCACCGTAGTTTCGGAAATCCAAGCTTTATAAAGCGAGCAACGCTGACTTACGGACAATTTGCCAGTTTAGTTTCGTCCGATCGTCCTTACCTTTTCTCCCCACCACACATTTTTCAAGCATCCATCTCGCCCTCGAGGCACTCGAGCATCCCATTATTCATCTCCTCCCGTGCCCATGAGTTTCCGGATCGAACGAATCGCAATCGCGCAAACTGGGAATGGCTACTCGATCGACCGCACCGCAAGTTATGGTATTTCGATGCGGCGGCAATGTATTATTGGGGCGCAATTTTATTCAACTTTGTATAAATTGTATAAATAAAGCGCGTAAAGAGTGTTAAACGATACAAACGGCCCTCGTAGACTTGTATCCCAAAATTGTCATCCAGCGCAATGACAAGAGAAGATTATTTCAGCCTCGTCGGTGTCGTCGGTAACGGTCCCTGCCCCCCTCACGGCCAGCCATCAGCGGATCTTTAAGCCTCTGTGTCGACTTGCAGCGGTGCAGCACGAGCGAGCACCCCGGAGCGCGTCGACGTCGATGTCGGTGATGGCGGCCTCGAGGAAGCCGTCCCCGGCCTCCGCCGTCGCAACCGCCGCCTCCCTCTACCCGTCGGCATCGCACATCTACCACGGGGCAGCGCGAGCTGGCGCTCCCTACCATCCGCTCCTCTACCCGAGCTTCTTTTCGTTTAAGCCAGCGGTGCCGAGCTTCCCCTCGGCAATGGGTGAGTCCATTGGCGTCGATTATCGTAATTGCCGATTTATCAGCAAAGTTTCGAGCGCTCGTCGTGTTATCACGTGGGCGCCCGTCAATTTATGGTGTACCGAGGTTTCGACTACGTCAGCTGATTTTGGATTAAGGAGCGACGCGTTTGTTGTCGGTGCATCTGGTGACGACTATTACCCTCTGGCGTATCGCTTTACGCGCTTCCGCTTCAATGACCGATACTTTTTGGTAAATCGTCGTCGTGAAAACGTAACTCGCTCTTCGTCCAGACAATGATGCTCGATGTTTAATTTCACGGGAAACTAACTGCCTGCCACTTATAACTCCAAGGCGACATGCACGCAAAGTGAATTTCTTCAATTGCCAATTTTGCATGCCCAAGTGCTTATTTGCACTATAATGTGCGATCGTGTTAATGCATCGACGGCTATCGAGATTAGAAATCACAATGTCAAATTATCGACTGAAAATAATTGTAATAATGATAATTGAATAATATTGCAAACTCGCTGTTAAATCGAAATTTTATTATGTATTTTGGTTAGCGTGAAATTCAACATTATACCAACGTAAAACTATATTCTTTAGTTTTTATTTGCTTCTTTTAAGCGATCTTTGATTTATTGAAATTTTTATTTATGTTATAAGCTTCATCCTCCTCCTCCTCCTCATTCTCCTCTTCCTCATTCTCCGTTCAAAGATACCGCTTTGTTGACCCAAGGGAGCATTTTACGCTTTCGTGTAATTGAATAATTCAACTTGTACTATTATTATTTAATTATTATTATTTATTACTATTTTTATTTAACGCGTTCGATGTGTTGAGATGTAAGGTGAGCTTTTAAAAGGATTTTTTAACATTGCGGATCAAATGTCTGCACGAAAAATTTTCATAATTGATTCTTTTCAATCAGTTTGTCTACATAAGCAACAAAACATATGAAACATATAACAATATAAAAGAGAGCAAATGTAAATAAATGCATTATTTTAGTAAAAATAGCTGAAAATATCTTTACGTAACGGATGAATATAGCGTACATTCCAAGGTCAATGACGTTAAATGATGAGCATCCGGAAGTGTACAGTTCGCGTGTATAGGCTTTAAAGTAAATTCACCATCACTGGTCGCAACGGGATTCGCTCGACGGTTCCCATGATGATGGCCATGTCGTGCACCATAGGGCCACTCGCGCGTATGAACAATCGCATATATATCGCACGTGTCGCGCGCTCCCGTCGAGCTTTCGTCTTTGCACGAAAGAGCCTCGTCCGCGAGCCGAGAGCCGAGAGCCGAGAGTCGTCTTCGCAAGCCGCAGAGCCGCGTCGTCGTAAGAAAATTTTATAATCCGCCGAGGAGTAATAGTGGGCAGCTAATGTTTAAGGAATATCGATCGTCATTGGCTACACGTGAAAATTCTTTGCCAGAGACGACGAGCGATTTGTTGCGACTGACGACGACAGCTGCGCACTTCATGCCCCGGCCTACGCCCGAACCCTTATCCAATTCGGCTGGCAAGGAAGACGAGGTGACAAGCTCCGAGGAGGCTGCCGCCGCTGCCAACGATCGCTTGCACTTTAAGAAAGGTAAGGTTGGCCTTGATCCACGCACGATCCACGCACGATCCACGCACGATCCACGCACGATCCACGCACGATCCACGCACGATCCACGCACGATCCACGCACGATCCACGCACGATCCACGCACGATCCACGCACGATCCACGCACGATCCACGCACGATCCACGCACGATCCACGCACGATCCACGCACGATCCACGCACGATCCACGCACGATCCACGCACGATCCACGCACGATCCACGCACGATCCACGCACGATCCACGCACGATCCACGCACGATCCACGCACGATCCACGCACGATCCACGCACGATCCACGCACGATCCACGCACGATCCACGCACGATCCACGCACGATCCACGCACGATCCACGCACGATCCACGCACGATCCACGCACGATCCACGCACGATCCACGCACGATCCACGCACGATCCACGCACGATCCACGCACGATCCACGCACGATCCACGCACGATCCACGCACGATCCACGCACGATCCACGCACGATCCACGCACGATCCACGCACGATCCACGCACGATCCACGCACGATCCACGCACGATCCACGCACGATCCACGCACGATCCACGCACGATCCACGCACGATCCACGCACGATCCACGCACGATCCACGCACGATCCACGCACGATCCACGCACGATCCACGCACGATCCACGCACGATCCACGCACGATCCACGCACGATCCACGCACGATCCACGCACGATCCACGCACGATCCACGCACGATCCACGCACGATCCACGCACGATCCACGCACGATCCACGCACGATCCACGCACGATCCACGCACGATCCACGCACGATCCACGCACGATCCACGCACGATCCACGCACGATCCACGCACGATCCACGCACGATCCACGCACGATCCACGCACGATCCACGCACGATCCACGCACGATCCATGCACGATCCTCGCATCATCGTAGAATCGAGCATCGAGTGGTGACGGCGTACGGCTTCATTCTCTTGTCTCGTGGATGTGGTGAAACCTTTGACCATTTGATTTCGCGATCGAACGATGCAGTGTTTTACGTAGGGACATGTATAAAGGGACAATGCAAATGTTATCGAAGAATCGCGTACGCATCGATTGCCCAAATTTCTTAATTTATAGTTGGTTAATAAGAAGCGCGGTCGACGAATCGACGACCTAAATGCCAATTTATGATGTTTTTGGTTTGACTTTGATATCATCGATGGCAATGTCACTTTGCTGTTACTTAAGTGGGAGTGCGCGGTTGGTACGCATCGACCGGCATCTCTTACGTCTTTATTGTGGATAAAGATTTTTTTATTAGTTGAACTATTTCATGAGAATTAATACTTTTAGGCAATGGCGTTTGAAGCCTAGAAGAAATTGTGATAAGAAAATAAAGTGTAACATTAATTTTTCTCATAATACCAATAGTCACGAAATTTATGTTTAATTTATAGTTGCTGAGGATCACGTGTCAACTCGATTAGCGGCTCCATTAATTTGTACTTCTGTGTCCGACGGACAAACGGCAAACTTTTCGCTTTTACCAGCGGAAAATGTTTACGAGTTTGCAGCGAAATTACTGTTTTTGGCCGTAAAATGGCCAAGAAGTATATCTTCCTTTTTACAGGTATTACATATAAATTTAATCAATTTCGCATGAAACCAATACCGTTCAAAGGATGTTTTATTATTTATGGAGATCACATGCCGCCTACAAATCCAAATAAAGTGCTTTTGAGAGTCGTTTGCATAAAATGCAGCAAGAATTCATAACAAAAGTTTAAAATCAAGTAAATATGATTTATATTGACAAGGCTCATTAATGACTCGAGTGTAAAGATTATCTCTCTCTATCTCACACACACACACACACACACACACACACACAAAAGTATTTATCATTGATGAGATTCATATCTTCATTTTTTTCCATCTTTTATAATCTCCTTTTGTGTTTGGGATTGTGTAGTTACCTAAATATCTTGGTTAATATCTTTTGACGGAAACTGCGGTGTAATGCCAAAAAATATGCACTCCAGACTTTTACAAAATTTCTCACTACACTCTACAAATTCAAATTGTTCAAGTTTCAATTCTTACACAATATATTGATTTCCAAGGCTACAAAGAAAAAAATAAGAAATGTAAAATTTTCGTTTAACCTTCACATCGACTACACATTTGCAACACTAACATATACAAATAATTATGGTTAATAATTTTAAAATACTTAAAATACAGCATGAATGAAAGAAAATCTGTTTATTTTATAAATATTTATATTCATCGGTAATTGCGATAGAAAAATATGTGGACTTTTCAATCAAAACCGAGGTCATTAATTAGTACTTGTAGCATTTAAAAACAATGAAAGAACCTTTAGAGAGGAGAATTAATGAATTTTTTCATTCCATAATAAAATGTATAAGATCTCCAAGGCTAAGCGAAGAAAAATAATAACTATTTAAGGAGAGATGAATATATGATGAACTAGAGATATTACTTACATAGTCAATTTTCTATTTATGTTTTAAATTCTTTACTGCGAGATTAAGCATCGATCGATGCTAAAGCTTATGATTTATATATTATACTGTTGCGCAAGCCTGAAGGGCATTTTCAGAATTGTACATATACATCGATGTATTATACAATTTGAGAAAGGAGAAATAATTGCACATAATTTATACACTATAAAAAAAAAAAAAAACAACGTTGTCCTAGAATTTCAAAGCTTACATTATTAGGTCTATTAATAGATGCTTAAAGATAAATATTTACGATATAGGAGAGTTAAAAGAAAAAAAAAAAAAAAAAACTAACGACATAATCAAGCGATGTCTCCTATCTATAATAAAAATTAAAATCCCAAATCTTTTAAGTCCCATTGCAATTCAAATTTTAGCCTTTTCTTACAATCTTTGTTTCGATGTTTCTCATATAAATAATTAATAACATGAATAACAACAATAATACTAAGATAAAATAAAATAATATAATAATATAATATAATATAATATAATATAATAAATATAATATAATAAAATAATACTAAGATAAAAATAAAAAATAAATAATTAAACATAAATAAGCTGAAGATATAATGGAGCGCGTACCGTTCAATTCGAGGACACGACTAACGCGACTTTGATTATGAAATTATTATTAAATTATTCCGAATCTCTCTGCAGCTTTCGTACCGAGATCAAGCGATTCTGCTCGAGGAGTCGTGGTGCGAGCTTTTCGTACTGACGGCCGCCCAATGGAATTTCCCTGTCGAGGAGTCGCAGCTGATACCGATACACATGTCGCCGGACAGGAGGCAAATCCTGTGCGACGAGGCCAGACGGCTACGCGAGCTCCTCACCAGATGCGCCATTTTGAGAATCGACCACTCGGAGTACGCATGCCTCAAAGCGATCGTACTTTTTAAAGGAGGTGGGCCAAGCAATTAGGATAATTAATTAAATTGGCAGGGTCGAGAGGGTTGAGATTTTCGTTTGTGGGAGGGCGCGATAGTGTTAGTGAGGGGACACTCGAAGAACGCCGACGGACTTCTCCTGTCCAATCATTCCTTCGATACATAAAGATTTGATAATTGAGCTTTATATTATGAATTCCAAAATAATAATAATAATAATAATAATAATAATAATAATAATAATAATAATAATAATAATAACAATAATAATAATAGTGATAATGATAATTATAATGATAATAATAATAATAGGGACATTGGCTATGTATGGAGCAATGTCCTTACTATCGCTTCAAGTTACATTTTTCATTGTGTTTTCGTTTTCGTTTGTTTTTTTTTTGTTTTTGTTTTTTTTTGTTTTTTGTTTTTTTTTTTATCCATTCTCATCTTCGAGTTGTCGACTAAAATGGTATTATACTTGGCTAACCATGGGAAGAGCACGCGACTGGACAACTTGGTTGTGGATAGTAACAGGACCAACATTTGTACCATTTATCAGTCTGAAAATAATTATTACGCGGATTACCTCATCGCCTGCCCAATTTTTCGCTCGTTTAAAAAAAAAAAAAAAAAAAAAAAAAAAAAAAAAGAAGAAATGATAATGGGAAGATGTAGATTCGTACTCCTTGCAAACAGTAGCTGCGGTGCAAAGCGGGAATAATATTGTCCTTTCTGATAAGCTTCCTATCGGCACATGGTATCACTTCATTGACCGAGCCGTATAAAACTAAGGGGTAATGTTCTGGCAATTTGCGGTGTGTCAATTGACACGAAGCTGGTTTGAAGAGGCAACTTTTCTTTTTCGGAGCCGGAGTGCATAATGATTTATCACGCCTGAAAAGAGATGAATGTACTTGCTTTATTTTATTATTACACGATTAATTTTATTAATCTAATGTCGAGTGTGAACTTGCGAGGCTAATATAAGACAAATAGTGAAGCCAATTGATATTATGCTAAATTAAATGTAATATTTTTTTCTAATCGACTTCAAAATTTTCTTTGATTTTCATTGGAAAATATGGCTTTGTCAATTTTTTTATCTTTTCAAATCTGTTTTATATAAATTTTTTTCGCATAATCATTCAAATTAAACCAGAAACTTGAGTCTGTCTAAATGCGAATGTGTAAAGTCGCGATTTTAAGAGTATCATTTTCTGAAATTTGCCAACAAAATCTTCAATTTAGTTTGAAAAGTTAGTAGAGATTAAAGTTTATTTTTTTTTTTTCAATAAAGATAGATGAATATAGAGTAAAAATGATTAAAGTAATAACCTCTCAATAAGTAATATTTCGTGTTTTTTTAAATTATATATATATATATATATATTTTTTTTTTTTTTAAACATTTTATACTGACATTTGCAGTGATGTCATATACGCGGTACTTGCGACTAAAAAAACTGTGAAAATTTTATTTAAATAATTCCTTTCTATGATACTTATGTTATTTTCCCTTAAATTAAGTGAAATTTTACCTTTAGATTTCTATAAGAGACAAAGCTATTTTTAATAATAAAATTGATGTTTTCTTAGGGAGGGAAAAAAAAAAAAATAAATAAATAAATAAATAACAGCAAAGCATAAATTTTTCAATTTTAACGTTTTTTTCTCTCAATAAGTATCTAAATGATATTTAAAAAATTGAATTACGAGCTAATTTACATACTCGAATTGTTAATAATTGATTGATCGCGAGGACAACAAAGTATTGAGGTTATGATAAAAATCATAAGGTGAAAAGGTTCCGGCAACACACGATAAACGTTATTAATCTATATTTTATATATAAAATACATACAGCTTCCCCATTTTTTCCAAGATACATTGTATTCTACTTAGTTCATGGCCGGGACTAGCAACTTCGTTCGAAAAGCCCCAATTTCCAATTGCCTCCGACACTCCAGTACCTTTACCTTTTGAATATTCAAACGTGCATTTAGCCATTTTTACTTATTTTTTCTTTTTCTTTTAATTTATTTGTTCAATTATTCTACGTGAAAATTTTGATCGATGATTTTAGCCGAAATATAAATTTATAAATACACATAGGTACACATGCATACGCATACACGCACGTACGTACGCACGTATGCGCGCATATGCATACACGCCTGTGCATATATATGTGTTTGTGCAAAGCAACTTCAAATTTATGAATTTTTGTTTTTATGCGTGTTAGGAAGTGTGCTGTTTTTTAAATTTCCAACGCGTACAATTGTTTCTGCGTTTTTACTTTTATTGGCTTTAGGCCCTTTCGGATCCCGATAAGCATTAGCGAGTAAAAAACATTTGTTTGAAAATTTATTTCAATTCTTGTCCAATATTCTCAGCCTCTAACTTATTATAAAAAAGGTTTCCTTATCTATGCTTATCCACAAATATTCAACATCGCTTGTATATAATTCAGAAATCGTATATTATCGACAATAATATATGATTCACGGATTCGCGTTGAGAATTTTTTTTTTTTTTTTTTTTTTTTTTCCATCCTCCTACATATCTCAGTCTTACCCGCGCCTATCCAATATTGACATTTAAAATCGCAATTTTAAATCGACAGTTCGATCTTGTTTATGATGGTCCGGTACAAAGTTTTCTATCCAATAGCTTTATAATTGACAATAGTCGTTTGAATGTTCAATGGCCAAACGTTTGTTAAATCATATTCGTAATTGAATTTCTTAACGTATCCACACTTTCAATCCACATTCACGAGATCATTAAGGAGTAAAAAGCGAGACTGATCTTGTATTGTCGACGCAGAGTCCCGGGGCCTGTGCGAGGCCGCACGCGTCACGGCCCTGCAGGAACAGACGGTCTCCGTCCTGTCCGACCGAGGCGCCGGTCGCGTAGGCCATCTCCTGCTGCTGCTGCCGCCCGCTCGCGCCCTCTGCCGGCGCACCCTCCAGGACTTGCTTTTCCAGCCGACGGTCGGCGACGTGAGCGTGGAGCGTCTGCTCGACGATATGGTCAACGCCGGGAGGCCCAACTAAACCAGCGACAACTGCCTTTGCTCCACCTCATCGCCATCCCCGCCGCCCAAAATTCTACCAAAGTACCGACTGTCAGACTTTCGCTCCCTCTATTACCCGCGAAACTACTACTTACTTGCTGCCACACTTCCCCAACGCCACCCCCGACTCACCCATGTGTTTTACCTGTAAATAAATTTACGTCTAAGGAAATGCATTTACAATGCTTTAAAGTCTTTTTATGAGGTATTAATAGAAGTGTCGCAAAGCCCCATTAGGTAGCATTCGCACACGCTATATTCGCAGAATACTTACAGATAATCAAATACTCATTTTTACCTTTAGTCTCACTTTCGCTTTCTCACTTCTCACTCTGTCTGTCTGTCTGTCTCTCTCTCTCTCTCTCTCTCTCTCTCTCTCTCTCTCCCTCCCATCAATAAGATTACTAACATATATATATATATATATATATATATATATATTAATTGAATGAATGCATAGCATAGGCGATCCTATTATAATTTTTACTTATAGTAACGCCAGCAATTTGATTTGAGCGCTTGAGAACAATTAACAACCAACACCCGATAATATGTGTCTGAGCGCGTACGTAGCGATAGTGGATTGGT